GCGCCCGCGGGGGCGCCTCGGCCTACGGCCTGCGCTCGGGCTTCCGGCGCAGTTCGATGCTGTTCGGTGCCGCCTGGAAGAGTCCTGCAGATAAAAACGGTCGTCCTTTGACCGTGCCCTGTTCCGAATAGTGTGCTGTGCCCGCGAGGTACAGTTCTACATTTGATGACGCTGTCGCAGGAAGCGAGGCGTGTCTGCACTCTTAAGCGGGGGCGCCTCGGCCTACGGCCTGCGCTCGGGCTTCCGGCGCAGTTCGATGCTGTTCGGTGCCGCCTGGAAGAGTCCTGCAGATAAAAACGGTCGTCCTTTGACCGTGCCCTGTTCCGAATAGTGTGCTGTGCCCGCGAGGTACAGTTCTACATTTGATGACGCTGTCGCAGGAAGCGAGGCGTGTCTGCACTCTTAACGATTCAAGTTACTATTTGTGAAACAGATGCCCAGCTGAGAAAACTAAAGGCAAATCATGGACAAATTTAAGTTTTTAAAATTGATTTTTTATTAGTATATGTTTGCAATGCATAATAATCACATTCGTTTTGGAGAATTGGTGTACGTACGTAATGGATCTTGATAATTTCTACTGTTCTGCCCTCCTCCCCAAAGATAAAGTTTTGTTTTGTTTTCTGGTACGGGGAATCAAACTCAAGACCTTACACTTGCGAGTCTGGTGCGGTGCCCCTGAGCTACATCCTCAGCCCAGAATTTTATAGTTTTAAAAACTTCATCTTTGCAGGCTGGGGATGTAGGGGGCACCTTGCCTGCCTCATAAGCGCAAGGTCCTGAGTTTGATCCCTGGTACAAAAATATATATATATTATTAATAATAAAGCTATAAAATTCTTAAACCATAACAGAAAGGTACCTAGGCATTAAGCATCATAAAATTTTTGTCACTGAGGGGCTGGGGATGTAGCTCAGTGGTTCCAGCACCTGCCTTGCAAGCACAAGGACCCGAGTTTGATCCCCAGTACTAAAAAAAAAAAAATTATCACTGAGAAAAGATAAATTTCAGCTTCTCCATGCTGGATGAGTTTAATTCTTTTTCTGTTTTTCTAATTTCTCTTGATCGGAAGACAGAAGCCAAAAAGATAACAGTGTAATTAAAATCAGGTATCAGCCTTGGGAAATATGCCTTCAAAGGTGACAGTTAAATGCTAGCAATCTAATAGGCACAATATTTGAACCTTAGTATGTCACTTTCCTATGGCTGTGTAATAGTTTCCCACACATTTAGTGATTTCATAGGACACAAATTTATTATTTCAGAGTCGTAAAGGTCAGAAGTCTGGTAGGTCTCACTGAACTAAAACCAAGGTGTCAGCACATTCCTTTCTGCAGGCTCTCGGAGAATTTGCTTCCTGTTTATTCTGGTTGGGGTCAAATTTAAGTTTCTTGTGGGGCCTAAGTTTCCCTTTTTTTTTTTTTTTCTGGTGGGTGGGACCCACTTCTGCCATCTTTAAAGCCAGCTGTGGCAGGCCAAGTCTTTTTCACAAGTTGGATCTTTGCTGCTTCTGTCTCTTTTTTGACCTGCCCTTCTGCCTCCCCCTTCTGCTTTTTTTTTTTTTGCTACCGAGGATGAACTCAGGTCCTTGACTTTGGGAGGCAGGCGCTGGAACCACTGAGCTAAATCCCCGGCCGCTCTTCTGCTTTTAAGGTTCATGTGAGTAGATTGGGCCTATCTGGCTCATCTCCCATCTCAGGGCATTACCTCGCTAGCATCAACCAAATTCCTTTGCCTTGTGAGGTAGCATCATAGGTGCTAGGGACTAGGGTGCGCCATCTTCACAGTGCCCTCATTCTGCCCACGCCCACCGTATTTCATTTTGTGGATGGGCCTCACTCTGAGAGCGTAAAGTGGAGATTATACAACAAGAATTTGCATGTAACGTAGTACAAATACTTCATAAACATTGAGAACTATCTCAAATATGTTTAAGCCCTGAAATGTAAAATATGTATTAAAAGTATAAAGTACCGGGCTGGGAATTTACCTCAGTGGTGTTCAACACAGTAAATTGTGATGACTTTTTCCAAAGTTGGCAGCACCGTTAAAGTTTCCCAAAATTCAATTTATGTGTGTGTGTGTGTGTGTGTGTGTGTGTGTATATATATGTATGTATATATAAAAACATACCCCATAAAGGATGTTGATATTGTTCTGTGATATGTTTTAACTCAATTAGTAACATATTTCTCCAGATAATCATTTTTCTTTTTCTAACTTCAATTATCATTTCTCATTTTTTTAGTTCAAGATTGAAAAATGGCAAATTGCCCGTTGTAATAAGAACAAACCTCAGAAGTTTATTAATGATTTAATGCAAGTACTTTACACAAATGAATACATGACCACACACAGTCTGACTGGGGCAAAATCTTCTACTTCAAAAGACAAAGCCGTAAAACCAGCTATGAATCAGAATGAAGTTCAAGAGATCATAGGTGATAATATGATTGCATTATACTGTCATGTGAATTTGAAATTATCTTATCATCCATGTTCAATTTATTCTGTCAGGATCTTTGTAAAAATTATTCTTCTATGAAAGAAAAATTTTAGAATAGTCAATATTCTCATGAAAGATGAAAAAAATCTATAGAAAAACTTCATTAAAATGGTTATTAAACTAGGACTGAAGTTTATATAACTGAAAAGTTTGACTTAATAAAATTCATAGCTTTAGATAATAAAAATTTCAAAATATTCTAAAATAAAACTTCAATAAAAATGTGTAACTTGTTTTCTCTTTCCTGTGTTAATGTTTTGTCTTTTATTCTGGAAAAAGAGAGATTAATTTGACTGTTTCCATTTGTGATTTTTAAATTAATGTATCTCCTTAAATTTGATCATCTAAATTACCCAGTTAATATTTTTGCAAACATCCAAGAAATTTAGAGATTTCCTGATTCTGAACTCTATATATCTCATTTCTTAGAAAAAGATCATTGGGGAACTATTGTTAGACATGGGTAAAAATAAATCCCTAACATTTTGGAGCAAAGATGTGTAGAGTTCAAAGCAAGTTGTAGCATAAAATTTAGATTGTACTATAGGAAAATAAATATGTATGTTCTTTATTTATGAATTAGACCTTCTGATATCTTTCTCTTTGTTTTGAAAAACTGACCTATTTATTCACCCACTTAAATATCTTGTGAGAGCACTACTGTCATGCAGAGACAAAATTGCAATGTAGGATGTTTGATTGTGACCTGAGTTCATCCTTCATATGGAAAATTCTCATAAAGTTATTGTATGTTATTATCTTTTACAGGAGTAACAAAACAGCTGTTTCCCAATACAGATGATGTTTCAATTAGGAGAATGATAGGGCAAAAACTCAACAACTGTACCAAGAAGCCAAATGTAAGCAAAAACCTTAGCTCTCAGGATATTAAGTAGAACCTTTTGGTAAGTGTTTTGAATCTTCCCACTCTTTTCAACATGGCAAGATGATATACTACTTACATCTGAGGAATTACATTCTGCACGCACTTACTAAAGACTCCTGGTGACCTGTGAAATGCGAGTGTCACTGGGGTGATGAGGTGGACTAGGCAGGGAATTTTAACTTGGTGAATGCTGAGCTCTGTTGCAAAGGTTTCCCTTTCCCAGAACCTCTCAGATATTTTGAGACTCTCTTCATTTGCCTGTGTGTACCAGAAGTCTCTAAGAAGGTAGTGTGGTGTGTTCCATGGTACTTCCCAAATTGTTCTACTGAGGCACTATTCACAGATCACACATTAGCCTGGAAGCAACAGGACAGTGGAGCCACAGCACGGGCACGGTGCTGCTCAGCAGGTGTTTCTGCAGGGCAGTGGAGAGTGGATCCGAGAAGTCTCCAGTGGGTCCAGAGACTGCATGGGGTGGAGGTGCACACCCCTGGCTGGGAGTATGGCATGGCCTCCGCCATCCTCCATGCTGCCTCGCACTAAGTCTCAGTCTAAGTAATCTGTTGTTGTAGTTTAATGAGGATTTTCGCTAACAGTTGGGCCTTGCCTCGACAAGTGGAATCTTGTCTGCTTTTGCTGCACACAGTCCTGGCTAGTTCACCTGTACCTGCTCCTCTTCTTCTCTGCTGTAGTTCGGATCCAAACTGTCTCTAAAGGCCCATGTGTTGATGCTTACTCTCCAGCTTGGCACTGTTGGGAGGTTGTGGAAATGTTAAGAAGCAGGGCCTTGTCAGAAGTCTGCTCTGCAGGGAGGTGTTTTTGGCGGAGATCATAGGACCTCCACCTCTTCCTCTGCGTCTCTTGCTTTCGTGCCATGAGGTGAGCAGCTCTGCTTTCCTACTGCCCTCTACCATACTGTGCTGCCTCCCCGCTGCACAAAACAACAGGCCTCTGATCAGGACTAAATCTCCAAACTGTGAGACAAAATCAACCTTTTCATAAGTTTGTCTTCTCAGATACTTGTTATTCAAATCTGGCTAACACATTATTTTGATGGAAAATATGTGAGAAATATGAATGATTGTGTTACTGATATTTTCATTCACTCATGGAAGTATGGAGGTAACATGAGAGAGGGTTCAGTCCATGTGTTTAAAAGGTGTGCCTTTTCACGTGGTGGTGCACACCTGTAATCCCAGCACTCGGGAGGCTAAGGCAGGAGAATCCCTGTGAGTTCGAGACCCCTGGCTGGACTACATAGTGAGTTCTAGGTCAGTCTCAACTACGTAGTGAGACCCTGTCTAAAACAAAAACCCAACAAAACAAAAAGGTGTCCCTTTTCTTTTTCTCTTCCATTTTCTTTTCTTCTATGTTTGCCTTCTTTTAGAGTGTTCTCCGCCTGGCTAACCACCTCTGATGCCATATTACTTGTCTCCTCTTTTTCTGACTGTCTCAAGGGGTAGGGGTTGTGTGTAGTGCGACATCTCCCCTTCACTCACACCAACTGCTGTCCTCTCCTTCCTCCTTGAGGTTCTTTATCAAGTTTGCTGTAAAACTCAGGCAATCTCTGATGAGAGTAACAGCAGTGACTCTTCCTTAAAAACTATAATAAGGTTGTGGGGGTCTGACTCTTGTCTCACACATACTGGTGGACTGTCTTAAAGAGTTCTAGAAGATAAGGCTATCTGTATCCCTTTTCTCCCCCAGGGATTATAAATTTCAGAATAGCATGAAAATCATAACTTCCCAATTATTAGGTGATTGCTTAAATGTGCCCAGAGAATTTCGCCGACGTGAGGCTGACCAGTTGCCATGTTGTGTAATGACCATGCTTCTTTCTGAATGCTGTGTAACTAGACCTCCAAGTCACACATCTGTCTTTTGGAGCACATTATTTTATTTCAGAATTCCTTAAAGCATTTTAACATCCAAAGCTCTTTCTTTGTAGTGTGTTAGGCTGCCAAGAATAGGCACAAAACACATCTCTGTCATATATCACCTGGCAGGATGTTGAAGAAATGAACATTAAAAGACTTTTAATCCATTTTACTTCTGTTTGCCATCAGTAATGTTATTAAACTAACTGAATATTGATTTAGAATTGGAACAAAGGACAAAGCCTTTGCTTTGAACACAATGTAGTCTTTTGCCTTTTGGGCCTGAGCCTATCTTTGTACTGCCATGGTATTTACATTAGAAATGCATATATTTTGAGTAAGAAGTGAAGATTAGCACCAGAATGGAAATTTTGTTTAAACTGGTAGATATATTTCATTGGAAATATTATCTCCAAAAGACTAGGGAAAACAGTGCTGGGAAAGACAGGGTCACATGAGCCACTTAACGCTTGATGAATTAGTTACAGCATCATCTGTTGGATGGCTACTATAGTTAAGGTGACTGCATTTATTCAGGTGAGTGTCCCATATTGGTAGCTCTTCAATGGTGGGAGCTCATGCAGAAGAGTTCACAGGAAAAAATAGGAAGCTGTAGAGATTGAAGGCCAAGCATGCTCTTTTATTACCCAGTCTGGCAGGAGCTAACTTAGGCTCCTAAAAAAAACTGTGAATCCATTCCAAGGTTGGTGCCCCCAGCCCCACCTCTAGAGAGTCCACCGCCTCAGCGCAGTCACACTGAGAACAATGCCTCCCGCTCTTGAAACTCTGGGACAAATTATATCCAAACTATAGCACATATCCTCTAGAAAAAGAGGGAGGAGGTTATTTTAAGCAATTGGCTTAAGCAGTTGTATGAACTGGCAAGTCTAAAAATGCAGGGCAGGCTGGCCGGCTGGAGACCCAGGAAAGCTAATGTAGTCTTAAGACTCAAGACAAATGTGGAAGCAACTGCATTTGCTCTGGGGCCTCAGTCCCTGCTTGCTTTCAAGGCCTTCTGATTGGACAAGGCTCCATCCACATTATGGAAGGAAATGTGCTTTATGCAGAATACTGATTTCATGAAATAACAATCTCATCTAAAAATAGCTTCAAAGAAACATGTGATCTGGCATCTGACCAAACCATTGGGTACCATAGTCGACACACAAAATTAACTATTTCAACTAATGTTTTAGGACAAAAAGTCTGGTTTGGAAGGCTGCTCCACATTTTGACAACCCTGTGAACTTTGCAATTCACTTCACTTCTCTGAACTTCAATTTAAACGGGATTTGATTCTTCTGTGTTTTAAACAAGATAAAGCAAATTTGGGGAATTACCAGACACTTAGGAAGCAATCACTAAGTATAACTGAAGAATGATAGAATTGTTAATTATTTTTATGATGGTTAAATGGTACGTTTGGGCATTCCTTGTACTTTGTATGTTTTTAAGTTTATCTAATAAAATGTTTGTTTTTGTTTTTTTTTTTGGTACGGGGGATTGAACTCAGGTCCTTGTGCTTGCAAAGCAGGCACTGGAACCACTGAACTAAATCCCCAGCCCTAATAAAATGTTTTTTAAAGGTCACTTCAAGGCTGGGCTGTAGCTCAGTGTAGAGTGCTTGCTACCATGTGCAAGGCCTGGGTTCAATCAGCAATACCATAAAAAGAAAAAAGTTATGTCAGATGAAAATACTTTAACTCATTTCTGTGCTGGAATTCCTCTAATACATCATAAAATAATTCCTAAGGCACCTCAGTAGTAATAGTCCTTTGTAATAATTTGTATTTTTAAGGACAGGGGATTTAGCTCAGTGGTTCTGCGTCTGTATTGCAAACTTGAGGTCCCAAGTTTGATCCCAAGTACCAAAAAAAATTTTTTTTTTTTAAGAAAAATTTTATAACAGATACAAAAATAAATAACTCAGGACTATAAAGCTTTTTTTTTTCCCTCTTTTAAAAAAAATTTTTTTTGCTTATTTATAGATACTGAATGTATCCAAAAGAAAGGACTTCCATCATGCAGCTAACACCGGACTGCAGTGGACGTCTGTGCCCTCCCTGGCAGTGAGTATGGAGACGTGTGCAGGGACAGCTGTGTACATGCCACACATCCCTGGGCTCCTACCGGAGAAACGTGTTGAAGTTGCATGTAGATTCCATTCTAGATACTAGTGCGCATCAAGCCAGGAATTTCTACTGTCAAATAAGCATGTAGGATGGTTTATTTGGAAATATGCATTTTCCTTTCCCCGAATCCTCGTGCAGTTCAGAGGATAGACAGAACTCTCAATGTAGCAGTGACATCTTCCACTCTGTAGATCATTGAGCCAAACACTGTGTATTTATTATTACCAGTGACTCCCCATCGTAGCTTTTGGATCTTTAGCATAAGCACATTTAGAAAAGTAAACAGGTAAATAATCATTGCTCAAAAATATGAGAGCAGCATGGTATGCCTAAACTCTGATAATCACGTGTAACTAAGTGTTTACCAATAAAATTACAGAGCAACTCTGTTATCTAAAAAGGAGTAATATGAAAAAATAAGAGCAGCAAAATATTTTCAATAATAAACTATTCTACTCTATTCCTGAAAAATTCATTTTTGTGTTAAAACAATATGTAAGTCTTCAGAATAATGTTTTTGTGTGTTTAGCAGATGTGTTAAGTTATTATCCAATATAAATATAGATGTGTACCCAGGGATTTAGCTCAATGGTTCCATTGCCTGCCTCACAAGCACAAAGTCCCAAGTTCAATCCTCAGTACCAAAAAAAATTAGATAAATAAATATAGATATGAAATACAAAGCCTCAATATCGCCTAAAATGACCTGTTATATGATATATAACATGTATTTGGTCAGTTATGTTGCTACACTGCTTAGTTTTTGTTTTTTGGGTTTTTTTTTTTTTTTTTTTGGTACGAGGAATCAAACTGGGGTCTTTGCACTTGCAAGGGAGGTGGCAGAACCACTGAGCTAAATCCCAGCCCAACACTGCTGAGTTTTAACTGGTTTATTTTCATTGTAGCAGAAAAAAAAATGAGTTGAAAATAATCAATATAGGTTTGATAATCACACCAAAAATGCCATTTTGTTAATCACCAAAAGATAAAATACTATCCAAAGGCTTCTCCCTTGATGTTGGCTTGTCGCAGTTGACCATTGTGCCATGCAAAGCTGTTTTCAGTGTACAAGGCCGTGTTGAAACGCGGGAAGGGAGATGTTACGTAGTTAGAAAGTTCAGCTCTGTGGATCCAGGGAACATTGCTTAAATGTTGCTTGATAACCATGTGGTTGTACAAAGTGAATGTTCTTAAGGACATAAATTATGTAATATTTACTACTTTTAACTAAATAAATTTCATTGAAAAGGAAAAAAGTTTTTCTTCTTTACTAAGGTACGAAATTCAGAGAAGAATTTTAAGTAGACAGCTTCTTCACCCACACACTGAGGCATTACCCTTATAATTTGAGTATATGGTTCAGGATTGTTTTAAAAGAGCCATGTTCTGCAACATAAACAATGTCCAGGAAGGTGAATGAGTACACTTAGTGTTTTTATTGAAAAAAGGATACACTTCTTAAAATGTATTGCCTTTCCACTTAAAAAAAAAAACAACCTGAGAGGGCCTGGGATTTAGCCCAGTGGTGCCCCACCTGCCTAGCAAGAGCAAGGTCCTGAGTTCAATCACCTGGAACAACAACAAAAAAACTACGTAGTAATACAAGTATTGCCTACTAAAGGCAAATAAAATTGCCTTTGCAAAACCTAACTGTAATATTCAGATAGAACTTGTACAATCTTTCCCTAAAGTATTTTGAAATATACTGATATCTCTACAGGTAACAGAATAAATGTATTTTTGTATATGAATTGTAAATGGGTTCCAAAATAACAAAACCAGTGAAACTGAATAAAGTCCCAGAAAGCCAATGATACAGGTGTAATGCATATATTATGTATTCACATATATAAGAATTAAGAATGATTAAACCCTTTGATAAGTTGAGAAAGAAACGTTTATTTAGTAAGAGATACTGTGACAGTTTGTAAATGGAAAAAAAATTGTACACCTCTATTTCAAATGTTATTCCATTTTATATTTAATATGTATTCAGTTTTCCATATTTAGATTCTCTGAACGAGAAGGACAGTCTCAACCAAAACGAGTGCAGCAAAAGTGCCAGTGAAAACTCCTGATGCTCAGCCTGCAGCAGCCCTGGACTCACTCGGATATTAGAGTGATAGGTTACAGGTTTCGAGGTAACTGTTACTGGGGATCGAACTCAGAGCTTGCACTTGCAAAGCAGGTGCAGTGCCACTGAGCTACGTCGTATGCTTTTTGAGATCTACCACTCGTGTGGCACCTTGGTATTCTTGCACTTTCTGTCCGATTTAACTTCTTTCAGCAGCTTTTAAAAGTCTTTGGATTTTGCAGATTGTAGCTTATTTTGCTAAAATATATTTTGTTTTTGTTGTTCTGGTTTTATTTCTCTTTTTAATTTTTATTTTGGTGTTGTTAGAAGAAGGAAAGAGTCATTCCAGTTGCATGTTTGTACTGGAGAGTTCTTTTCAGTGTTTCTGTAGAAGTCCTGGATAAACATGGCACACTCAATTAAATTTGAATCAGAAGAACCACAAATGCTCTTTAGTAAAATTATGTCACAGGGAATATTTGGGACAAACTTACAATCCACAATTACACATTTGAAATTCAAATTTATCTGATGTCCTTTATTCATACTCATTGAATCTGGTTCTGCTACCATGAAACCTAATGTCATTCTAAGTTTCATTCTTTTAATATGTTTCCCTAGGCTTATATGTGCATGCTCTCCTGCTATAGTCTGAATATACTTTATGAAAAAGATAATTAGAGAACAAGAAACAGTTGTTACAAATTAGAATTTTAGAGGCTGAAATTCAAAAGTTAGGGCTCTGAGTGTAGCCTAGCATGTAGAAGGACCTGTTTTTGATCAGTCAGAACCAGAAGAAAAATTTATATTTGGGTTTGAAGGTATAAAACCAAGGTTTGACAGTGTCTGTTATGTAGCAAGAAAAATGAATACAAAGGACATATGATAAGGGACATTTTCACAAACTCTAGATAATCAGAGATTAAGAGAACCTGAGAATACTGAACAAGCGAGCATGTGTTGATTTTGAGGAATCACATCAGCAGATGCATGATGTTCATCTACCTTTTAGTGATAAGAAATTTAATCATTTTATCAAAATATTGTCCAGTTTTTTTCACGTTTTCCTCTGAACAGTTACTGTTTTTTTTCTTGCAATCTATAAGGAATCTGTAGAGCAATAACTGGAGACCATGTATGTAAACTCTCCTTGTGAAACAGCTGGTGAGTGACTCCAGGGGGTGCCTTGTTCAGAGGCCATGTTAGGGAGGGCCCAGCTGAACTTGGGACTCAGAGCAGCTGTAAGTCAGCTTCATCTCAGGATTCCCAGTGTTAAACTTCCACAGTGACTGGGTGAGGAGCGTTCATGGGACATGTACATAGTCAAGGAGCCATGGTCAGGCTGGCACGTGACACCCAGAGTAGTATAAGCTAAATGACTAAGGCCTTATCACCATGACTAGGGGCCAGGTTCAGCCTGAATTTCTGTGGATGTGAAAGCCCCAAACCAGCACATCATCCTAATCCTAATCCTACTGCCAGTTTCCTGAGATTATGCAGCATGCATCTGGGAACTGACCACCTCTCTGTCTACCAGGGAGAGCAGAGTCCCATCTTGAATTGGACACTCCCACAAAGCTCTAGATTCCAGAAGATAACCACAGGCTTGAAATCAGAGAAATCTCTCTCTCTCTCTCTCTCTCTCTCTCTCTCTCTCTCTCTCTCTCTCTCTTCTCCCTTTGCTTTGGTCTTGTTGTTGCTTTTTCATTTCTTGCTTTTTTAAAATAAGTGTGAACATTGTTTTATTTTTGTTTTGTTCTGTTCTTGTTTTTATTTTCTCTTTCTTTCTTTCCCCTGTCTTCTTCACCAGTTTCCTGAGGCTTAGGTAAACTCCTTCAGCCTTGCTTCTAATCTCTTTTTCTTCTTTCATTTCTCTATTTTTTTCCTTTTCTTCCTTTTAAATTTTTCCCCTTTAGGGTAAAATTGCTTTATTAACTTAATATATACTTTATATAATTATATAATTTGCCTTAGATTTTGTTATGTAACTATAAGTTGTGTATCTGGGGTTAAAGGTGTCAAATTATTAGTCAACATAGTTTGTGATTTTCCAGGCTGTGTTTGATGTTATTACTGTCCCAAAGGGTTATAGAGTTGTGATTGATCTTCCTTGTTGTGCCAATACCTAGGTTGTATCCAAGTCATGAACAGTACTACAGTCTGGTACCAATGAACTGGGTGCCAGGCCAAACAGGCCATGACATTTTATCCTTAATAAACAGAAGAAGTAAGATCCTGGGGCAAACTCAAAAGCCAAAAGGCAGCTATGCCAGAAAACATCTCGGAAAACTAAGAGGACTCCATACTAGTAATAAAACTACCTACCATAAGCAATTTATAAGCCTCAATGCAGAAAACAAATAAACAAAAAAATAGAAACTAAGAAAATATGGAAACAAAATGCTTCCCAACACCCCCAACTCACCCACGGCAAATCCAGGGAGCACTGAGGAGGAAAAAAACCAAAAGCCACCCAGCTGAACTTTCTAAAATGTCAGTACTAGAAGTGACAAAACAGATGAATAACTCTTTTGACAAAACCAAAACATAAATAATTACACAGAAAATGAAAGAGGTGATGACCATAATGAAGGAAATAGGGAAACTACAGAAGATACAGATTTTAAAAATACAGGAACTTGGGAAAGACAGGGAAGCCATGAGTTCCTCACAGAAAAGAATTGGATGTCATGAAACAGATTTAAACAGATATACAGGAGATTAAAATTTTTATTGAAATAATTAATGCTGGTATGGGATGTGATGAAGTATGGGATGCAATGAAGGCAGTCCCACAGGGGGAATTTATAGCAGTGAATTCCAACATCAGAAAAACAGAGCAAGCTCCAATAAATAACCTAGTGTTAAACCTCAAGCTTCTAGAAAAAGGAGAGCAAGTTAAATCCAAAGTTCACATAAAGGAAGAAGTTAGAATGATCAGTGCAGAAATTAATGCAATCAAGACTAAGAAGGCTACACAAAGAATCAATGAATTGAAGAGTTGGATCTTCGAAAGATTAAATAAAATAGAAAAACCCTTAGTCAATCTTGTCAAAACAAAGGAAAAAAAGACCCAAGTCCATGTAATTAGGGATGAAAAGGGCAAATTCACAATGGATCCTGCAGAAATCCAAAAGCTCATTTGTACATATTTTAAGAAACTGTATTCTAATAAGATGGAAAACTCAGAAGAAATGGACAGATTCCTAGATACATAGGAATTACCAAAGCTAAATCAAGAAGATATAAAAATTCTAAATAACCCAATATCAGTCAGTGAAATTGAAAAGAATAATTAAAAACTACCAACAAAGAAAAGTTCAGGTCCTGACAAATTCACTGCTGAATTCTACAAGAAATTTAAAGATCTAATGCCATTAATCCTCAAACTGTAAGGGAACTGAAAGGGAAGCAATATTCCCAAACTCATTCCTGAAAGCAAGCATTACTCTGATACCAAAAATTAAAGAAAGATCCAATAAAAAAGGAGAAATATAGGCCAATCTTCTCAATGAACACAGATGCAAAAATCCTCAATAAGATAATGGCAAACCAAATGCAGCAAATCACCAGAAAGATAATACACCATGCTCAGGAAGGATTCATCCTGGGGATGCAAGGGTGGTTTGACATATACAAATCAACAAGTGTAATATTCAACATAATCAGAATCAAGGACAAAAACCACATGATCATCTCTATAGATGTAGAAAAGGCATTTGACAAAGTCCAACACCCATTCATGATAAAGCCCTAAAGAAAATTGAAATAGAAGGTGTTTAATCTCAATATGATAAAAGCCACCTGTGACAAACCAACAGCCAACATCATACTAAATGGTCAAAAACTGAAATTTTTCACACTAAGGAACAAGGGAAGGATGCCCACTATCACTGCTCCTGTTCAATATAGTTCTGGAAATATTGCACAGAACAATTATATAAGAGAAAAAAATACAAGGAATATGGATGGGAAAGAAGTTATTATTCATTATTTCCTGATCACATGATTCTCTACATAGAAGACTTCAAAATCTCCACCAAAAGACTCCTAGAATTAATAATCAAATTTGGTAGTGTAGCATGATACAACATTAACATTCAAAAATCAATAACATTCTTGTACACAAATAGCAAACTCATTGATAGAGAAGTTAGAGAAACAACACTTTTCACAATATCATCCAGAAAAATTCAATGCTTAGGAATCAATCTAACAAAGGAAGGGAAAGACCTATACATTAAAAACTACAGTATTCTGAAAAAGATTGAAGAGGATATCTGAAAATGGAAAGATATCCCCTGTTCTTGGATAGGCAGAACCAATATAGTAAAACTGGCCATACTTTCAAAACTATTATACAGATTTAATGCAATCCTAATCAAAATTCCAATAGCATACCTCACAGAATTAGAGAAAACAATCCAAAAATTCATATGGAACTGTAAGAGATCTAGAATACCAAAAGCAATTCTCAGCACCAAGAGTAAGGGAGGAAGCATTACTATCCTTTGATTTGATGTTATACTATAAAGCTATGATGATAAAAACAGCATGGTACTGGCCACAAAACAGACCCAAGGGTCAATGGAACAAAATAGAAAATGAAGAAACAATTGCAAGCACATTTAGCTGCCTTATCTTTGACAAAAGGGCCAAGCACCTTCACTGGAAGAAAATCTCTTTAATAAATGGTGCTGGGAAAACTGGTTTTCCATTTACCTAAGACTGAAACTAGACCCATAACTCACCATGCACTAAACTAAAATCAAAGCAGATCAAAGAGTCTAAATATAAAAGCAGAAACAATCTGCTGGAAGAGAGAATAAGCAAAACTCTCAAAGACATAGGTGTAGGCAAAGATTATGAACAAAACCTCAGTCACACAGGAAATACTACAAAGAATCAACAATTGGGATCATATAAAATTAAAAAGCTTTTGTACTCTGAAAGAAACCACCAGGAGAGGGTAGAGACACCCACAGAACTGGGAAAAAAATTTTACCAGCTGTTCTTCAAAGGACGGACATCTAAAATATACAAAGAATTTTTTAAAAAATCAGACCCCCAAATTTAAAGACCCAATCCAAAAATGTGCATCTGAAAGGGACGGATACTACTCAGATGAAGAAATAGAAGCAGCAAATAAATACATGAAAAAAATGTTAAACATCACTGGTCACTCCAGAGATGCAATTAAAACAATGTAAAGATTCCATCTTACTCCAGAAAGAATGGCTGTTATCAAGAAATCAACCAATAATTAAAAATTCTGGTGAGGCTGTGGGAGAAAAGGAACCCTTCTCCATTGTTGGTAGGAGTGTAAACTGGTACAACCACTGTGAAAATCGGTATACAGATTCCTCAAAAAACTAAAACTAGAAATTCCATTTGACCCAGCTGTGTCACTTCTAGGTATCTCCCCAAAAGAGTAAAAAGCATCATACCACAGTGATATATACATATCCATGTTCACAGCAGCATGATTTATAATAGCTAACACTTAGAAACAGCCCATATTCCCATAACAGATAAATTAATAAAGAAAATGTGATGTTAATATACAATGGACTACTATTCTGCCATAAAGAAGGATAAACCTGAGTCATTCTTAGATAAATGGCTGCACCTGGATACCATAATGTTAAGTAAGACAAATCAGACACACAAGTTAAGCATAAAAAAGAAAGTTCTAAAAGATTTGCCATCTCTGCTTTACATCCCATATTCTTTTTTGTCATAATATATATTCTTTAAAAATGTTAAGGACATAAAAGATAAGTAAAGGCTTATCCAATTTAAATAAGAATATTCAGTTATCAAAATTAAATGCCTTATGTGATAATGGACTGGATCTTGCCAGCTCTCAAGATATTTTATGTCAATCGTTGAATGACAGTGATCTTTGGAGGACATATACCCTACAGTTGCCTTTGGTTTATGCTTGGGGAAAATTTCTGAGCCATGAAGCAAGAAGAGAAATTGGGGTTGGTCTCCCTGAATTAGTGATGAACCCGAGATTATAAGGATGTCAAGGTAGCACTCAGAGACCACCAGAGGAAAGATATAGAGAAAGAACTCCAGAGACCTGAAGAGAGTCCCCTAACTATTTAGCTGAGTTCAAGTAGATTGGCGTTTGCAGGTGCGGAAAAGTCCCAAGCAGAGCACATACTGTTCAGACTTCAGATGATAGCTGCCTGCTGACTTCCAAGGGGAGAAGGGCACAGGCCTTGGAGTCCTACCTTGCCTCTCTCTCTACCTTTTTTTTTAGTTGACTCAATTATATCAGACTTTCAGCCACTTCCCACAGGTAAACCATTGCTTTTGACCTTTGAGTTTGGCTTTCCAGGCCATTATCAGAAGTTGCTCAGCAATGAACCAATAATACAGCTGTACTCCCTTTATTTCTTCCTTTTGTACACTCCTAAGTAAATTAGTTCGTTGTCCCTATGATGAGGTTATACACTGTCCACCTAATGGTGTGTCCTCACAGTGGGATTATCTTTATAAGGACAGGAGTAAGAGGGTATATGTATGTATGCTGAAAATTTTGAACAATCAAAAATTGAAATATTAAAACCATACCAATTACAAGCATATCTGAAAACATCAAATGGGTAGGGGATGGACTGCACCTCATTGGTAGAGTGCTTGCCTAGCATGCACAGGCCTTTGGGGTTGATCCCAGCAACCCCCTAAAAAAGAAAAAAAAAGAAATACAGATAAATCCGAAAATGAAAAACACAAGGATACTGAAAACATTGCTGAAAGAAGTTAAAGGAGACTTAAGACAATGTGAAAAATACTGTAAAACAAACTCAGAAGTACCTGATTAAACTTATAAATTTAGCTCAGTGGTTTCGCTGCCTGCCTCGCAAGCGCAATGTCCTGAGTTCGATCCCCAGTTCTGAAAAGAAAAAAAAAATAAAAAAAAAAAAAAAAAAAAAAAAGGAAGAAAGAAAGAAACAGGGGAAAGGGAAGTAAAAATGATTTCATTATTGTGGATTGAAAACAAATACTAATAAAAAAAGAGGCAGAGGAAGAAGTAAAAAGGAGCAGGTGAGGAAGCAAAGCTGGACGTCTCATAGGTAGCCCCAGGAAGTGGATAAAATCACAGACAGCAGCCAGCTGCTCCAGACAGAAGCATCTAACAAAGGCTACATTTTGTTTTTATCAGGTCTCAAAGAAATATCATTTATTATTCATTTTTTTCCCAAAAGGGGCAGTGTTCTCTGGACAGGGTGGAATTTAGTTACTGCACTGGTGTGTGTTTGCCCAAGGTCCAAAGTGTGCTCAGAAATGTGTTCTGTCCCTCTCCGGGTAGGGAATTCATTATTATAATGAGGGTATAATGAAGTTTAGGGTCAGATCTCTGTCAGCTTTGTGACCATCTTTGCTTGTACTGGTCTTACCCACATTTAGCTCAGTGGTTCTGCTGCCTGTCTCGCAAGTGCAAGGACCTGGGTTTGATCCCCGTACCAAAAACAAACAAACAAAACCCATACCTATTAAACAGCTTGTATAATCAACTCTCGAATTTCGGTAAGAAAACAAGTAATCAACTCTCGAATTTCGGTAAGAAAACAAGTAACTTTTTTTTTTTTTTGTACCAGGGATTGAACTGGGGTCCTTGGGCTTGCGAGGCAACAAGTAACTTATTTAAAAAGTCGATAAATAGGGCCGGGGATTTAGCTCAGCGGTTCGGTGGCCTGCCTTGCACCCACAAGCACCCGAGTTCAATTGGTTCAATCCCCGGTAAAAAAAAAAAAAAAAACAAAAGTGGATAAATGATCTTAGAAACTATCAAGGAAGATACAAAAGTAGCAAAAGAATATATGAAAGGATGCTCAAAATTACTAGTTTTATATGAATGTAACTTAAAAACACAATGAGATATTGCCATAGATCTCTTATAAGTTCTAGGTCTAGAATAAAGAATAATATCTCTTAAATATTACTGAGTTGGGGCAGGGGATTTAGCTCAGTGGTTCTGCCTGCTGCTTCACAAGTATATGGTCCTGAGTTCAATCCCCACACCAAAATAATAACAATAACAACAGCAGCAACAACAACAATAATAATAATAACTGAATTGAATAGCGTGAATGTATCTGTCCTCTCTAATATTTTCCAAGGGCTTCACTGAATAACTTTTCAGTACTGGAGATTGAACCCCGGGCCTTGAACTAAGCTAGATCCCCAACTCTGTTTCCTTCATTTGTTTGTTTGTTTGTTTGTTTGAGACAGGGCCTTGCTAAGTTGACAAATTGCCTGGACTGGGCTCAAATTGGAGATCTACCTGCCTTCACCTTACCATAGTGCTGGGATTTCAGTTCGCTAAATAACCCTCACCGGCAGTTTATAAAAAGTAAATGTTCTAGAAAAAATGAGAGCCAAGATCCGTCATGTAAGGGTACAAGATCCCAATGATGAATGTCACTGTACTGTATACCTAAAATGTACCAATAAACTCAATAAAATTAAAAAAATTAAAAGCAAAAACAAAACAAAAAAAAAGTAAATGTTCTTGGCGGTGCCCACAGAAAGTTGAGATGAAGTAAAGATGGACTCTAGTTTTTCTGAATTCTCAAGGAGCCAGAAGTCAGAACAGAAATATACCCAGGATCACAAAGATAGAACACTTGAGGAAAAGTATTTTTCCCCTCCTTTTTTGCCTTTTCTTAGAGTGCTGATTTGTTCATTCTTATATTTAGACATATGTGCATAAAGTAACTATTTTTGTAATATTAAACTTCAAAAATAATTTTGGCCAGTAACTTATTTTCCTTTTCATTTAAGCATCTTTCTACCTAACATCCTTTAACCAAACAACAACTATCAGCCTTTTAGCTACATGAATGTGTGAATACTTTTGCATTGGTAATCTTGTACAGGAAGCTGTCTTGTTTTGTTTGGCTTTTGACCCCATCACTGTATGTGGACATCTAAAAGCTCTGAAGTCCTCTCCTGCGCTGGCCAGATTTCTGTCACCCTTGTTATTCTCCATTCACCATCAGCTTCTTTCTGTGTTACACAGAACCCGGGGCCCAGGAGAGACACTGGGAGGAGGAGCTTCACTGTTGGCCCATCTGCCTCTTTGGAATTTGGTGCTTATAACTTGCTATCCCAGCTGTAAGTGATAAGGAGTCCTCTGCCTGAGACCAACAAGTGGCTTGCTGTTTTCACACAGCTCCTCAGATCTGTCTGCCCCCCAGTAGAGGCTTCCTCATACCAGCTCTGACCAGTGCCTCAAGCAGTTTGTGGCAGCTTGTTCTCCTGCAGAGGAACAGGAATTCCGGATCTCCCAGGCTCATTGTTTTCTTATCCTTTATTTCTGTTTTCTTTTTATGAGACTTATCTTTTTTTTTCTCTCCCCTACAAATTATTTTTCATTTTATATAGATAATTGTATCAACCTTTTCTTTTACTGTTGGTGAAATCTGGTCACAGGGAGAAGGGATTTTTCACTCCCAAGTTATAAAAGTAATGACCCATGTTTTTTTTTTTCCTACAATTAAATTTCTGACTTGTGAATCTGTCCTAATATATAGTATGAAGTGTGGGTACAATTTCTACCTTTTCCAAGTGATTCCCCACTACTTCAAAAGCCCATGTTGTTATTCACTGCTGACTCCCACTGGCAATGTGATGTTGTATTTCCATGTGCACTTAAAGTCCTTGACTGATTTTTTTCTGTCTCGTAATCTGTGTCTCTGATAACCAGTACTCTGCTCTTTGAAGTATAGAGACTAGGAGACTTACAAAGATTTCTTATACAGGTTTTGCATCCTCAATAAACTTGTGCTTTACCTTAAAAAAAAAAAGAAAAAGAAAAAGAAAGCATTTCACTGGCCTCTCATAGCAAGTTAGGAAACATCTTTTCAATGCAGTTTTCTCCAAGGCATTTCAGAGCTTTACAAATGATTAGTCTGGGGGAGGCACTGGGAGCTCATTGTGATGGGTCCCGCTGGTGTCCCTTAAATGTAGTTGTCAGGGAAGCACCTGTAGGTTTAGGGTACTCCCTGAAACTGCAAGAAATAGAACAGATTGACACCAGCTACCAACATAAGAAATGATATGCTACCTTCTCTTCTCATATAGACTTGCAAAAATAGGCCTTAGACTGAGAAACTAATTATCTTCTGATAATTAATCACAAATCGCATAAACACCTTAACGTTAGGGAATTGATCATGTTAAATTATGCTGTGACGCCGCCTCACAGGCTGCATCCTCCTGGTACATCTTGGCTCCTAAAATGACCTCATGCCCTTATCTCTGGTTTCCCTCCCCCAAGGCCACAGCTGTCCGGAGAAGTTGAAACCTGTTTCTGCAGGGCTGGACCCATAAAAAACAACCTGGCTTGTGATAGGTTAAAAGTAGCCCACTCCTCATAAATAAGCAATAGCCCAGCCCCAAACTGATAAAAGGACCTTCCTTTCTTTGTTCCTCTCTCTCCTTCTGCTTCTTCCCCCCACCCTGTGTGTGTCTCTCTCTCTTCTCTCTCTCTCTCTCTCTCTCTCTCTCTCTGCTCTCTCTCCTCCCACCCCTTGAATAAAATCTCCAGTCGGACCTCTCCGTGTGTGTGGCCTAGTTGTTGAGCGTCACTATTCCCTTTCACTTAAAAGATAGACTGAAGGTGACTTCAGAGAACTACTTCTTACATGCTGAGAAAATTTTGTTCCCTGAAGTCAAAGACTAGCAGAAACTTTGCCGTTTGGAAATTCATCGGAAAGTGAAGTAACTCTGGGCTCACATTCTCAACTTACTGCATTACACTTAAGGACATTTCCTATTCATGTTAACTTTCCTAGTTTTCAAGTTAGCAAGACCTGAAGATCACTTTTACTGTACAGACTCGATGTAGAACTCTTTATGTACAGCCCTAATCACTTTTGAACACATTAAAACATCGATTCATTTAAATTTCATCTACTCTTCCTCGAAATCTTAAAAACTTTCCTTTGTGTGGTGAGATGTCTCACACTTTCTCCCCTCCGCTGTATGATTTGTCAGTTATAAGTGGCTTTGGGCTTGTAAATCTAAGGAAAAAGCTTTAAAGGAATGTTCTCAGTGAAAGATTGTTTCCATATGTTTTATGCATTTGTAGTCATTTCGTGGGAATAATGAAAAGAAAAAGCTGAGCCATAATTTGGGGGAAGCAATATTTGGTAAAATCACGAAAGAGCATTTTAATACCATTGGTCTATTACGCACACTAATACTCAGCTCTCTCTCTCTCTCTCTCTCTCTCTCTCTCTAACACACACACACACACATACACACATACACACACACACACACACACACGCACGCACGCACGCAAGCGCGCGCGCGCAGTTTGAGCGAGAGGAAAGGAAGGAGAGAGCAGGACAGGTGAGAGGATGCGGCGGGAAGCAGAGCCAGGGGACGGAGAAGCAGCGGAGGTGAGCTGCCCTGTTCCCGGAGAGCAGCCCCACCCAGAGGGCCGCAGCCCGGAGGCCTGCGCGGGCGCCGGCTCAGTCGGTCAGGCCGCAAGGCCCAACGGCTCCGCCTCCCCGGCCCCGTCCGCGCCCAGCAGCCGGCTCGGACACCAGTTTTTTCCAGCTATTTCCTGTGGTTGGTTGAATCCGTGGATGCAGAACCCATGGATATGCAGAGTTGACTGCAATTTGAACATGGAGAATTTTCTGCCTCTTTGTACAAAGTTTTGAACAGCTAACTCCATAGAATCACTTGTATCTAACCCCTTCCAAATAAGAATCCGTCTTGGCACCTTCAAAAGAAATCTAAAGGGAATGGTACTGTCCTAGAAACAGCGAAAGCCTTGCCATTGTATTTAAATAGTTCTATCTAAACGACAGTGAACATTTAATTGTACTTTTAAATGGGATCGAGACAGAATCTACAGTTTTCCTCTGTAACCCATCCTGACTCCCCGGGACAAGCTTATTTCTGTGTATTTTTCATGGTACCATCCAGGAAAGATGGAATGCGACTTGGTGTAATTCTCTGTGTAAGAGTTCTCAAGGGACACAAAGGAATGTTAGTATGCTACTTCTTCATGTAGTCTGGCTTGGATTTCTTAGTTTTTTTAATATAAATTTAATTTTCCACACTTTAGTGTATACTATGGCATAGCTCTCTCTTTATGCTCTTGATATAGCCCCAGATTAAACACAATATGCTAAAAGAAAGGCGTAATAAAGATTTTGATGGCCGGGCATGGTGGCGCATGCCTGTAATCCCAACACTCGGGAGGCTGAGGCGGGAGAATCACTGTGAGTTTGAGACCAGCCTGGGATACATAGTGAGTTCCAGGTCAGTCTCAACTACATAGTGAGGCCCTGTCTCAAAAACAAAAAAAAAAAAAAAAAAAAAAAAAAAAAAAAAAGATTTTGATGTACAAAGAGCTTTTGATTGATAAATTCTTGAAATACATTATACATGCACCAAAATATATTTCCTCCTTGTTTTCATTTTAGTAGTGCATTTTCATTTGTCTGGATGTGTTTGCATTTCCTCCCACACTTGATATATTTTTCTCTGCGATTAATCTCAAAACAAAGCTATGATAGTATTCTCATCTTAACACTTCTTTATACTTTTACCTATCGAAAAAAATATAGGCATCTTCCAGAGGTGTTTATGATTGGCCTATGATAAGGCATTATATAAATAAAAGAGACAAAGATTCAGTTTGATGTTTGAATGAATTGGGTTGTGGTGAAGCAACTTGAATATGAAAGAACTCCATGAATCTGAGGTTGGATTGCTAAGATATTATTGATGACCATTCCAGTTTTTAAATGCTGTACTGTGAAGCCTGTCCTTGCAATACTGTCTCTTTACTTTCGTTCCCAAAGACATCCACATGGCTGTATTCCCGTATGTAGATTTAGGCTCTTTTTTTGGTTTTGTCGTTTTTTTGCATATTCATATACTCTGAATCTTTTTCTGGTTTCTGATTATTCCGTTCCACTTGTAAGATTTCCTTATCAGAGGAATCTTTGCCAATTTCAGAAAAACCTCCCCACTGATTATAAATACATATCTCAATAACTCATGGTTTGCCCATTTATTTTTTAGGAAGGACCATCAGGACCTCTTCTTGAGTGCATTGATCTCCTTTGTGGTCATGATGAAAAGCCAAACATGCATCACAGTAAGGTAAGCACATCGTATTTGTTTTTTCAGTTCTTCCGTTAAGTGCAGCAGTACACAGAAGGTGGCTGGACAAGGGTTACAAACACTGGTGTTTAAGTTTTCCAGAATTTTGCAAGTTGGTTATGAACATAGCAGTTATTAAAAATTAAAGCACATAAATATATAGGTGTATAAATTATCATTTCATGGGTAATATTAAACTGAAGTTCTTCACATGTGTTGGATCTGTGTAATAGAAATGCCACAGTATTGTGCTGGTACAGCATGGGGGAATAGTTAATCATGGAAGTAAAATACAAACGAAAGCTTGATTCAGTTATTTGTGGATTGTCTGAATTTACAGGATAAGATGTGAATGCAGATTAAACTTCAAAGTGTGATGTGTCTTGTTACTGCTAAACTATATGTAGCATAACAGATTCTAGAAGTTGCCTTGCTATATTCAAAAACTTAAGTTAGCAAAGATGTTGATGTCATCATTGATGGATGCATGTGACTATAATATATATCTTCATTGTTCCATTTTAATATTATTCTGCAATATAAATGAAAATATCAGTCACTCACCTTGTTGGAAGTGTATGCATTTTCAAGTCATATGACCAATGTTTTTGACAGAATTAATGGATCATAAACATGCATAGGCAGATTTTATGACACTCTTGTTGGTGTAGAATTTTAAAAGTTGATATGGAACTTTTCAATAAATAGCAGGTTATATTGAAGTTATAGGTATAAACTGAAAATCAGAATAAGTTAAAATACTTCAACTAAAATATTTAAATTTTAGTTTCAAAATTAGATTTTAAAAATCATTAATACAATAGACTTTAAAGTGTTACCATTATTTTTTTTGTACTAGGGATCAAACTCAGGACCTTGCACTTGAGATCATGAATTTTACTTACATATGTAAAATTATTTTTCACATGGTTTCCTAAAAAAATGACAGGGTGACTTTTCAAGTTTTTTAAAATGAAAAAAGTGAAAATAGATATGAAAAGTAATGATAGGAACAAAATCATTGTGGATCATCTCAGGAGCTAAATTTTGAATATATCAAATAACCCATCCTTGAAGAAAAGCTGTCATGTTCATCAGTGGAAGAAATAGATAATCTTGTGTTTCCAGATTGTTGGAATGCAAAACAAGCACTTATGTTTACAGTACAGTATAAATGGCTTGAAATAAAAGAAACTAAATTAGGGTGCAGGGACTGTTTAAGAGTTTGGCATTTGGAATTGAAAGCAGAAAAGCATGTCTATGTGTCTAAGGAATAGACTGTATATTCAGTAACCCCTATTGGCAGTAATAAAACCACCAGGCAGGCTTCTCTGTGGAAAAAAAAGTCAGAGAACATGGGCTGGATGGAGATTTAGCTCAGTGGTTCCAGTGCCTGCCTCACCAGTGCATAGGGCACGAGTTCGTTCCCTGATACCAGAAAAAAATAAATAAAAATTTAAAAATCAGGGAACATAATGTTTCTAAAGTCCTTGGTAAAATTCAAGATTTATTAAAGGAATCAATTAATTGTTCAATTTCTAATACAATATATACACAATAAGATATTAATGCCACTATAAAAGTTTTTAATACTGTTTAGAATTTAATAAAATATAATAGACCTTCATCTGATATTGAGGGGCAGTAGAATTAGAAGAGAAAAATGGAAAGGTCAGTTGTTTAAATACACAATACAGTGCAATGAAAATAACAGAGCATATTGCAAAAAAAAAAGTTGTAGCTATTTAGGAATATTATCATCAAAAATGCCAAAATATGCATCGTAATTGATGAGGCATTGACAGAGTCAAAGAAAAGCACCCTTGTGATTTATCTTCAGTGCACAATTCAGTCAGCTCCTGCACTTACGATGCTGTTTGCTGCTTTCAAGGAACTGGTGTCACCCATAGTACAGTGCACTTTTAATACCTTGTTGATTACCTTAAATGATTGTGGTTTTACAAATGAATATTTGAAAGCAAATTTAATTGCTTTTTATTCTGATGGTGCTAATTAGATGGTGGGAAGAAAGTCTGGAGTAGCTACAAAATTGTTAGAAAT